ATGGAGTCTTGCTAAGTTGCCTGGGCTGGCCTCAAACTTGTGATGCTCCTGCCTTAGCCTCCCAATGTGCTGGAGTTGCATTGCAAGTGTCTACGGGGCCAAGCCTGTCTTTTGAAAAGACAGTATCTCCTTACTGCAGCAGATCATCCCTGTCATATTCTTTGCTCTATGACCTAAGGTCAAATTTTATCTGCTTGGAATATGAAAATTCATGTTTGTGGCATTCAGAGTTGTTCATCCAGTAAATATTATTAACCAGTTAGCATGGGATAAGATGCAGAATGGAAAAAAACATTGCCCTTATGAGCTCACAGACTCATACTGAGAACTAAATTCTACTAAGGCCACAGGGTATGGAAATGCAGCATGGTCAGAAGATGTAACAGGTGAATCTAAGGTAGTTTTGGAAGTGGGGGATAGAAAGAGGGATGTGAAGTCATTAATTGAGGTTAATGACTCCTCTTTCAAGAAAGAGGTTACCTTTCTTGCTTGAGGTTAGAAGCAAGAAAGAGAGGGGAGAGGAATATTTTTGAGGGCCAGAACTTTGGGTTTGAAGGTAGAGTCTGTCATTTCTCTAGAACTTTATACTGTTTGGCCTAATATGTGTAGTATTCCAAAAGAAGTGCTTTATAAAATTCCTGAGTTTGTACCAAGGCTTGTTCTGTATGATTGTGTCTCAGAAAGCCTGTGCCTATGGTGAGGTTTATTCACACTCGCCCCAGTGAATGGCTAAGTCAGAATGGGGAACAAGGCTTTTGGATCCCAGGTCCTTAGTGGCCCACTGTATCAGATTACCTTTTGAGGGTTTGGCAGGGGAATGCATTTCTTCACCTCCTTTCTTAAATGGAATGAATTTATGGTAGAAATGCCAGCGTGTGAGACCTGAAGTTGAACTGGCTTGTATGTGAATTCCAATTCCTACTACTTCTAATTGTTCAGTCTTGGGAAAGGCATATGCCATATTTCTTTGGATCTTAGTGGCCATAAATTGGAAGATGTATCTTTACTTCAGAAGTTTAGTATCCTATAGTGCATTTAGTATCCTATAATGTGTATTTCAAAATGCAGAAATATGCATTATAGGATACTAAATACAGTAATCTGTAGACATAGTTTCTATATTGGGAGAATGGGAATGGTGATAAGAGTTCCTACCTAATGGGATTGTGAAGAAAGAATGAGATCATCTCTACAGCACTGAGGGTGCTTGGTCCATATTAAGTGTTCAGTAAGTGTTAGCTCTTACTATTTTGTTTTCATTATTATTGTGTTGTATGGCAGAATTCTTATACAGGAAAAAAGAACATTTTGATTAAAAGAACGAATTAACAAATATATATTGAAGTCAACCCATTAGGTAAGCAGCGTAGGAGATACAGCTCCATACTGACACCCAGTTCACACCTTGGCTTCGCTGCTTTCTGAGTGACCGAGTGGAGTGATTTGTTTAACTTTCTGAAGTCAGTGTCTTCATCTGTACAGTGGAAATACAAACTGAGTATCTCATATGTGAAGTGCTTGGGACTAAATTTGTGATTTGGAGATGTTTTGGATTTAGGAATATTTGCACAGACTTTGCTCATTGAGGATGTCTAGTCCAAAATGTCTCCAAAATCCAAAAGTTTGAGTACAAGTTTTAGATTCCAGGGTGTTTTGGATTTCCGATTATTGGATTAGGCATGTTCAAACCTGTAGTATCTTGTAAAGTCATCTCACAGCTGAGTATGTATTTCAGTTCTCCTAATCGTGAGACACATTACTGAATATTATGAACCATTGCTTTCTATGTTTAAGCTATTTAGACACTACTTTCATAAATTGGGTCATAACTGTTTCATTCCATATATTTTTGACATGTTAGTCATGTTTTATTTCTCAGAACTTTTATGTACTTAGTATTTAAGTTTTTTTTGGGTGGGGGGAATATGCAACACTTCATGAATTTGTGTGTCATCCTTACACAGAGGCCATGCTAATCTTCTCTGTATTGTTCCAATTTTAGTATATGTGCTGCCAAAGCAAACACTGTTTTTTTTCCCTGAGATAGGGTCTTACTCTATAATTCAGGCTGGCTTTGAACTCACTGTGTAACCCAGGCTGGCATCATGGCAATCCTTTTTGCCTCAGCCTCCTGAGTGGTTACAGTCCTGTGTCACCACGCAGAGCTTTAAGTCTTTTTTTCTTTTCTTTTCTTTTTTCGTTTTTTTGAGACAGGGTCTTGCTATGTAGTACAGGCTGGCCTTGAACTCACTATGTAGCCTTGAACTCACACCAGCCTTCCTGCCTCACCTTCCTGAGTGCTGGGATTACAGACATGTGCCACTGTGCCCACTTCTTTAAGTCACTTTAAACACACATTTATTTAAAAAATATTCTATTGCTATTGTAAAAGGAAAACTGGCTTGACTTGATACAAATTGAATACAATTTGATAGTCCCTTATCTCAAACCCTATCATTTCAAAATTCAGATTTTTTTTAATTTAAAAAATGTAATGTGTGTATGTACATGTGTGTATGTGTGTGTGTAAAATACACCACATTCCTCTTAGTAGCTGAGGTACAATCCTCTGATCACATACGTGAATGATTTTTCTCTAGTGAGCAGCTATGCACATTAAGTGGGGCAAAACTATAAGCAGAACAGGTTAGGTTTTTCTGCCAGTGATTTCAGCCTGGGAAAGCTTTTGTCAACAAAGGAGTTACAAAGGTTCTTTTGTTTTCATAAATTTTCAGATTTCATAATTGAGGATGAAACAGTTAAAGTAAGAAAGAGAATAATTCTAAATTTTAGCTATATACTGTAGAGCCAGGTGTGGTGGTATATACCTGTAATCCTAGCACTGTGGGAAGATGGGGCAGGAAGATCATAAATTTGAACCTAGACAGGGCAGTTCAGCAACTTAGCAAGAAAGACCCTGTCTTTCTTAAAAAAGTAAAAGAGCTGCTAATGTAGCACAGTGCAGAGGCCTTGGGATTAATTCTTAGTACAAAAATAAAAGTAAAAATAAAGCTAGGTAAGGTCATGCTTACCTGTATTCCCAGCTACTTGGGAGGCTGAGGTATGAAGATCACCAGTTCAAGGCCAGCCTCTCACACAACGTGGTGAGACCCTGTCTCAAATAAAAGAAATGTTAGAATGGCTGAGGATGGCTGAGGCCCTGGGTTTAATCCCTAGCACCACAAAATAACATAAATAAATAATGAAGTGTAATATTGCATGAATTTCTAAGAGAAGGTTGGCACACATCTTTGGGGTTTGTTCTGTTGTTTTTGTTTGGTATTTATTTGTTTACTTTTTTGGTCTTTTTGAGATAGGGCCTTACTATGCAGTTCAGGCTGGCCTTCAGCTCACTTTGTAGCCTAGGCTGGTCTCAAAGTCACAACGATCCTCTGCCTCAGCCTCCCAAGTGCTGGGATTACAGGCATGTACCACCATGCCCAACTTTTTGTTTGGTTTTTAGCCTTAACTGAATATAGTTAATAATTTAGTTTTTAAAAAATACTCTGCCCCCAATGGTAAAGGAGAGAAAATTGCCAAGACAATTATTTAGACAAATTAGATGAATATAGATGACAGTGCTGTAGACAGGCTCTATAGAAGTATAATACAATCCATCTATATAAATTTATATTTTCTGGTAGTTTCAGTAACAATACATGGGTGAGACTTATTAATTTATTTAACCCAGGATATCTAAAATGTTATCACATAATCAAATACAAATTAATGAGATTATTTTACATTATTTTTCCCCCATGGGTCTTGGAAATCTGGTGTGTATTTTTAACATTACAGCATATCTCAATTCAGACCTGCCACATTTCCAGTGCTCAGTCATTATGTGTGGCTAGTCGTTACTGAGTTGGACAGCATGGCTCTAGACAAGTGATGTGAACCTTTCAGAGACCGAGTGCCCAAAGTACAACCCAAAACCACCTATTTATCAGAAAGCACCAATACTGCAAGTAAACCTGAATACTAAGGTTTTAGTTCAGAAAAAGCAACTCATATATTAATATCTTTTGACTTAAAAATAACACGTGCCATAGGTTTGCCATAGACTTTAATGATGATGGTAAAATTGATCATCTTAGATTTTCAGACTGTGAATCTAACTTGAATTACAGTATCTGTTTTTGCTGAGAGTACACATGGCAGAATTTCTTATCTGTTATATTTGGGTACCAAAATTTATATCATTTATATGAAAAAAGTCACTGGATTGATCATTTAATTTTTTTATTTTTTATTTTTTGAGACACAGTGTCACTATGTAGCCCAGCCTAGTTTTGAATTCACTGTGTAGCTCAGACTACTCTTGAACTTGTGGTGATCCTCCTGTATCAGTCTCCCAAGTGCTGGAATTACAGGTGTGCACCACCATGCTTGGCTTTGAATTTATATTTATAAACCTAAAAATGCAGATATTTTCAAATTATAGTACAAAGGAAATGGCTATTCTCGCCACAAAATTTGGAGCTGTCCAAAGTTTTCAAAAATACTGCATTTTAAGGTATAATTGCAAATAAAAGGACCAAAAGTACTGAGCTAGAACCTATTAAAAATATATCTTCAGCTTGAAATTAGTATTGATAAAACAGATGGGGAGCTACCAGCAGTTGTATTCAAAGGACATTGCCCATTTCATATGTGTATACCTCCAAAACCTGGACAATATGGAATGAGAATTTGAGTTTGTTATGTTTATATTCTTATTTAATTAAATTTCTGTAAGCTTAGTTTACATTATCTTGTAATCCTCCTGTAAACGTTTTGTGAATAACTTGTGTGTGTGATACAAGGGATCAAATCCATGGGTAAAATAACTTCAGGCTGTAAGCACTTAAGAAGGTACATTGGAACCAAGCATGGTGGCACATTCCTGTCTGAGGCAGGAAGATTGCAAGTTCAAGCCCTACCTGGGCAGCTTAGCAACTTAGCAAGACCCTGTCTCAAAAAAATAAAGACTAGGGATGTAACTCAGTGCAAAAGCCCTGGGTTCAAAAGGGAAAAAATGGTACACTGGATTAAGGTGGCAAATGATGACTTTTTCCTGGCATGCTGAGAGTTAACCAGAAAGCATACAAGAAAGTAACTTTTCCATTATGATTCAGAGTTATTTAATATTGCTTAAGTATTTTACAGTATACTACCTCCCATACTGCCTAAAATTATCTCAAGTATGTCCTTGTCTTGGGAAACTCTTACAAGTAATTATTGTGAAAGAACAAATGGTTAGGCTTGAAGTTAACATGACATAATGAACACATGCATCAAATTTTGTTCCTTCCCCAAAACTTTACTAAACTACAATAAAAAGACTATTAAAATACATAAATCCATAAATAGGAGAGGAACCAACAGCAACATTTTTGAAGCTGGAAAGCAGATGGTTGAGATGACTCATTTAGCAGATCCCAGAGGCAAATCCCAAGTTGGCAGTGGGAAAAGCACTGGGTACCCCTGGCACTAAGGGTGAAGGGTCAGGGGCCGAAATACCGTTTAGGTGTAAAGTTTGAAAACAGGTCCCTAGATCCTCTGCTGCTTCTCGCTGTTCCTCTACTCCAGCTTTGTCTTCCTGTGGGCTGAGTTGTGGGAGCTGTCCCATGCCAGAGGGATGGGTTCTCCCTCCAGCAGGCTATCAGGAGAACTGGGAACTGGAAACTCTGACTAGTCCAAGAAAAAAGACCTGAAGTGAACAAGTAGGAGTTCACCCTGGACAGGCTGTTCAGGTCACCTACAGTGAAGTCTGTTGTCAGTGGTCTGCAGCCAGGTGCTCAGAGCTGTTGAGATCCCTCTGGCAGTCATGAGCAGGGCCACAAGTTTCTGAGCAAAGGCTTTAACACAGAAGATGGAGACCAGAGAAAGCCAAGGGGAACAAACAGCTTGAAAGAAACTGTTGAAAACAAAAAAACTATCATCAAAATTCTTAGAAATAACAGCATATTCAGATGGTAAAATAAAAAAGAACACTCAGATGACATAAAAGTCTTAAAGTTATGAACCTTGTCGCAGAAATAATTAACTATTTTTGTTTTCAGAGCTGTGATTATATCCATAAGTGTAAATAATATGCTTATATTGTTTTTTCCTGTCATTTTAGATATTATCTGGCCAAAATAGACTAACACTTATACTTTACCTTTTCTTCTGCCTTGTCTTACTGTAGTTATTTCATTTAAAGTTAACACTGTAAAAGGTATTTTTAATTCTTTATTTCTATGATGTCAGCTATAAAGAGAATCAGTTTCACTTGTGAATTTTCACTCTGCCCCATTTACTCTTGCTCATAAATGCCTAATTACCTAGAATTGAAAAGAAAGGGGCTGGGGATTTAGCTCAGCGGCAAAGCGCTTGCTTGGCAAGCGCAAGGTCGTGAGTTCGGTTCCCGGTACCGAAAAAAAACCAAAAAAAAACAAAAAACAAAAAAAAGAAAAGAAAGATAAACTAGTTTACTAAATAACTTTATGTAAAGTTTACGCTTTTTTGCTGAGATCCATAATAAAGACTTTGCTCCTTGTCACCCACATAAGAACAGTAGGATGCCAGTATTTTACTTTCCAGGTTTTTGTTTTCAGGGCTCTTGGATTATAGCTGCTGTTTAAAGCACAGGTCTGTACTTTTGCTGGACCCTGGTAGCTGCTAAAGTAGCTAAGCCTCTCTGACATTTTGTTTTTAAGCTGTTGAGACTGATTCACCGTAAGAGCATGTGTATGTATCTGTGTGTATCTGTGTCTGTATATTTGAAATAAAATATTGCTTGTTGGGCCAGATGGGCTTTCTTGATAATTTGAATTAATGTATTTTCCTTCTTTTTTTTGGTCTAGGCAGTTGACAAGTACTTCAAGCTTCCTCACGCTTCCAGCAAACCACCTCGGCTATCAGGGAGTCTTGTGGACACTTCTTACAAGACATTAAGATTTGCATTCAGAGCATCATTGAAAACTGCTATCTATCGAATAACTACTACATTTGGTGAACATCTGAAGTAAGTTCACATATTTTGATCTATAATAATAGATAGTCTACTTTTAATGAATTCTTCTGAGAAATAGGAGGATTATTAAGGCCCAAACAATGAAAGTGTTCTTCTAGCACCTTGATGATCCCACTGCGAATTAACAGCTTGGATTTAGATGTAATATTTGTAGTTTAAAATGTTGTAAACATTGGAGAGTTCTTTCAAGTGGACAAAGGAAGATAAAAATGGTTTTTGTTCTTTTCCCTTTTTTAAGATAAAAAGTTACAAAAACAGTAAATGTAATTACATACATATTTTTATTAAATTACCAAAAGATCCATAAGAGACAAAAAAGGCAAAAAAAACAAGTGCCTATCTAGAAAAGTTTATTAAAAACAAGTCATGCTGTTAACCTTCGGCTAGGAAGCTGAGACTGGGGCTGAGCAGTGTTCTACACATGAGTTCATGGTGTTCTTTGAATTGTGCCGGAAAAGACACCAATGCATGACACCTTCAGAAACAGCCACAGAAAAAAGCACACATGCCACAGCTATCTGTGTTTAGTTTCACTGATGTTCATTGCTTTGATTGCATGAAATGAACTGGCTAGTCGGGATGAGAGATGCCAGTTTATTAACTACACCAGGTTTATCATAGTTATAAATGAGCTGTAGAAGGCAGGAGAAATTGCTCTGCTTTTCTTGTATGCAGTCAATAAATCATTTAGGACTTCTTCATACCACTTGTTTTTGAAAACAAGAAGTATATTTCTGTTTACTTCCCTAACACTCAGCAGTAGCAGTAGCAAGTTTTTATTGGGTACTTTGGTTCTGTGTGAGAATATAAAAGACTGTAGATCATCCTCTGCCATTAAGACATTCAGAAGCCGGGCATGGTGGTGCATGCCTGTAATCCCAGCACTCAGGAGGCTGAGGCAGGAGGATGGTTGGGAGTTGGAGACCAGCCTTGGCTACAAAGTGAGCTTGAGGCCAGCCTGAATTGCACAGTGAGACCCTGTCTCAAAAAGACTAAAAGACATTCAGAATATACTCATTAATGAATTTAGAGAATGAAATAGACATGATTCATATTGATGATACAGCAACAGCAGGAAGAAAAAGAGGAAGTAAGGATTTATTAGAAGGAGACAGAGGACTGATAAAAATTCTGAGCATGGAAGTATGCTTTGGTTTCTTTTCTCCAGAAAGAGTCATTTTTATATATGCACTCAAACGGATGAGTCGAGTTTGTTTTGTACATTCTGTAGGATAGAATAGATGGTGAAAAGACTATTAGATGTGGATTTGGAACATTCTGGATTTGTCTGGTTATATCATTGACTACCAGTGGTTGTGGGTGAGCTACTAAATGAGTTTAAGCTCAATGAAAGATTATGCAGGTAGTAATTGTAGAACCAGAATTAAGCCCCAAATCTTTTTAACCCTGGAGTTTCATCTACAATGTCT